CTGGGTGCCAAGTTTAAACAAGCAATAATGAAGACAGCAGCTCATGCATCATGAGCTCATGAGCAGTGCATGTATTTATACTGGAAGCTTATATACATATCGACATTTCCCAGATGTGCTACTTGTGTATAATACAAATACAAAAAAAAGCAGCATTCATGAACATACAATTCTGATGTGGGTGTATGTTTTGCAAACACAAAAAGATTCTGGTTCCATTGTGTTTCGAAATCACTCTGAAACTTCTGGAAGCAAATTTCTGGAGCAAAAACATGCTTACATGGCTTCTATGCACCCCCATTGGTGTTGCTCAATTTTTTTTGCAAGGGGTTTAGGGGTTTGGGTTTAAGGTTTAGGGTTTAAACATTTAGGGTTTAGGGTCTGTAGGGTTTATGTAGGGTTTAGGGTGCAAGCTTCAAGGCTTCTGGTTCAATTGTGTTTCCAAATCCTTCTGAAACTTTTGGAAGCAAATTTCTGGAGCCAAAACATGCTTGCATGGCTTCTATAGACAGCCTTCAGCACCATTGGTGGTGCTCAATTTTTTTGCAAGCTTCAAACTTTGAATAATTTCTTCCCAATGTAAAAAACCAGCCAAGACCAGGTATTCAGCAAAGCATTTTGCATTTCCATGATGTTCGAACCAGCTGTGCTTGTTTTCACATGTGTGTGAAGCCTGCTTAACTTCATTTTGGTTGCCTGTGTATTTATGTTTTCGAAGGTATGTTAAAAATTAGTTAACTAGTTAGCATAATTAATTTCACCATCAAGTTAAATAGTTAGCTAATTCTGCTCATTTTCATGGCTAACTAAGTTATTTCTGTTAACTTTTAGCTAACCCAGGGAACATCCAAGTAGTGATCAGAATGCCCGTGCTCCCCCAAGCAAATGGGGCGGAGGCACAGGTTCAGACACTTCATGCCCTCCTTGCCAGACTCGCCGTCAGAGTGCAGCGGGCGGAGACGTAAGTGTCTGAAGGGCTCAGGCTGGTACGGAGCTTTACCGGTACCACCCATCCTTCCTCCTGGCTCCATGGCCCGGTAGCAGACAGGCATTGGCGATCAGGAGCATCAGACCATAACGGTTCAGACAGGGCGTGCAAGGGAAGCAATCCCTGCCTCTGCTGAGTTATGGTTGGCAGCAGGATCTCCTCCTGCTCTGAGTCACCAGTGCCAGATCTCTTCTGCCCACGCGGATGGTCAGACCGGTCTGGCTCTCCAAGATTCGAGCCAGAACCACCCCCAGTCATGTCAGACAGTCCAGGAGGGTCGTTTGCATCGGGCAGAGGACCAGCGTCAATGGAGCCGGCGCCAGGAGTATTAATCAGATGCCTTGCCCACTTGGCCAGGGACAGCAGGCGGCGCCGAGTCAGCCAGGGCTTTTTCAGCCTCGATCAGCCTGCTGCCAGCAACAGACAGCGATTCCTCCTGCACAGTGCGCAGGGCATGGCTGTCCAGTTCACTGAACACGCGGTACAGAGAACCAGCACGAACACGCCCCAGGTCTGCCGCCACCTCCTTAACCGCCTCTGTGAGGCGAGGATCAGTGTGATCCATGACAGCCAGAGCACGAAGCGACATGGGGTGGCTGAAACATAGGCAATGTGAGGCAGATCTGAGCCGTAGCAGACCATAGCTTGCGCACAACCCAGCCATCAGAACTCAAGAGAAGGCAGCGAGAGCGGCCGCCAGATCAAAGCGGTCAGCGAGACCAACTCGTGACCTTGGGGCAGTGGGCGGTCAGACAGTCAGCGTGACAGTCTGGGGCCCAGGCAAAGGGTTCCGCGGCCGTCCCTGACCTAGGTCAGGCCGGAAGCAACAGACCCACACGTAAAAGAGCTGAGCCTCACACGAAGCAAGACCAGTCAGAGAAGACACAGGCGACCTGACAAAGCGAGCCAGGACACCAGAGGTACTGAACAGGCTGGGCACCCGACTCGTAGAGTGGGGCAGGAGCCTGTCAGTCAGAACGCAGACAAGGTATCCAGCAAGGAAAACCTAGCCTCCAGATCCACCACCTCGACATGATCTGAGACACAGCCCCTGAGGCAGACAGACCAGCAGTAAGCCTCGTTGAGGCAGGTCCGCTGACGCAGATGTCTTACCCGAGATAGCCATGGCTGCAGCAGAGCTAAAGAGACCTAGAACAGAACTGAACAGAGCTCAGAACTCCTATGCTGTGCTGCAACCACAGTGGCTGCGGATAGCACAGCATTTCCGTTGCGTCTGAAGCAGAAACAGACAGGATTGACACTCCTGACCGGCCGTAGCCCGGGACACCGCAACTTCTTGAAGATTTGCATGCCCTTCAGCTACTTTTGGTCCACCTGCGTGAGGGATGCCAGGAGGAGCTGGTAGTAGAGGAGCCGCCGCCATGCCTTGTCCAGGTAGAGGAAGATCTCGACGTGGAGGTGTAGGTCGCGCATCGCTCGCCGTCACGATGCTGTCCTGGGTCGGCGCCTCAGACTCTGCTCGCTCTCCCCAATCCCAGTCTGGGCCATTCAGCTGTCCTCCGGGTTTCTTTCGCCTTCTCTTGAGCGAATTTTTGGATGTAGAGGCCGTAGGTCTCGAAGGAGACGTCGCCGAAATAGGTGGCCCACGAGGCGGGTCCAGCGGTACCTGTGCAGTCGAGGTTGGTTCGCGAGTCCGAGGCGGGGATTCTTGTCCCTCCGGGAAGTAAAGCCACGTGCCGTACTTTCTGCGTTTCCAAGTCTGCTCGGCTGCCCGGTAGTAATCTGGACATCTGCGATCCATACACACCTACTCACCTGAAGCGGTCCTGCGGAGTGCTATCACACGAAATGTAGCGCCAAGCCGAAGCAGAAGAATGTTCGCTATCCGCATGCTCTCCCAGGATCGCGCTTGGCCTCTGCGAAGCGGACTCAAGCCCGTCCCAGTCTCCATCTGTGCCAGGTTCGTCACCTTGGTCGTTGCCCGACATAGGGAAGATCTGGGGGATGGTCGGAGCTCCGGTGCCAACTTGTGCAACCACTTGCTAGGTCGTCAAGACGTGATTGCAAGCACACAAAGCTGCAGCAAAGCCTTTTGCATGAAGCGCAAAGAAATCTATAGCTCAAGGGGCCCGCTTGAGAGAGGCCGGCGTGCAGACACATGCTCAGGAATGCTCAATGCCAAGTGGAGAAAACAGCGCAAGCTTATCAGAAACCGTTTTAGAGCTTACTGGGTCCAAGGGACAAAAGCCTCACTGCTTTTGACTGTTCAACTAAAGGGTTGATGCACGTGCTGAGTTTTACTCTTGGAGAGCGCTGTCACTCAAGTTTGGAGTGAACTTTGGAAAGTGCTGTTGAAACACTGTTGCTAGTTGTTGAAAGCACTGTTGACTGTGTTCTTGCACTGAAGTGCAGATCAAGGGACTGTGTTAGAAGACATGGTCCACTTCAGCGGCCACAGCTAGACTGGCACTGGCTTTGGGCTCAAGGTCAAGACTGGCTCCACTGTCCCTGCAAAAGTGTGGAGTGCTGCAGACACTGTGTTGACTGTTTAAAGTGAGAACTGGAGCAATCCACATACTGAATAATGTGAATACTGTCAACTTTCTGCTGCTTAATGTTTCCCAATGGTGATTTTTTTTCCCAAGGGGAAACGGAGGAGGGGAGGGGAGCGGGAGGGGAGGGCGAGGGGAGGGGGGAAGGAGGGAGGGCGAGGGAGGGGGAGGAGGGAGGGAGCGGGACGGGTACTTCGAGGTTCCAGACGGCCGGCTAAAGCAGATAGCCACACTAGCCTGCGTGATTTGAAGGCACATTATACCGATCTTTTATGATCTTTGCGTTGTGGCACTGGGAGTAGATGCCCGTGATCTCAGGACCATACAGAGTGTCACACGAGCAGGGAGAAGGTGCGGCTCAAAAAGACCAAGACTTTGGAGCAAATACACTTGGACCTAAGTCCAAGCTGCGGTTACCAGCGTCAGAACAAGCGCGGGAGGGAGGCCCATCCGCAACGCGTTCCCTAGCAGCAACGAAGGTAGTTGCATCCATGCTTCCTCCGCTCAACCCAGTATGCCAAACGAGCCTCTGCCTTGCTGGCTTCCACGCGTGCAGCAATTGCTTCCGTTTTCTCTTGTCGCCACCGCCTACGTGTTCACGCTGGCTGCAGGAGGAAGCCATCATCCCTCTTCATCCAGCCCCTGGGCTCCCCGCTCGCGCGACCTGCTCCGTCCCCTTTCTTGCTCGACGTCCTAATGATGCTTTGTGACCGGTTTTCATGAAGAGTCCCATCTCGTATCCTCGTTCTCCTTCTTGGGCAATAATGAAGGATCAACACATACCGTCCTGTCACAGGACTCATTGCACTTGCACCATGCAAACAACCTCTCAAAACCATGCCAGCAGCTGACGCTGTGAAATCCTCTGGCCTCGGGCCCCAGTGCCCTTGAAGACACTGCTAGCTCAAGCAAGCTCTATGCAAAAGTTGAGTTTTGCCAACTTCTATTTTGCTTACAGCCTCAGGCTGCCATTTCCAGGGGCCTATCAGGCGATTTAGCTTAGAAAAAGAGGGTCCACTGGGCAGGGATGTCGGAAGCCTGTGCTGTCAGTTGGCTTGTTCAAATGAAGCCAGCAGTTTTCCTCAAATGCGGCATGTCACTTATCCGGATCTGCAGGCTTCAGCCCAACAGTTGCCAGCTCGCTTGCACCAGCCTGCGGGGGGCAGCTTCGGAATGCGAGAAAACACGTTTGAAGCGGAGCCTGTGCATTGGCTTCGATCTCCAGATCGTCAGCATCTTCATCCTCATCTTGCTCCAGCACTTTAGGTATGCCTTGCAGACACGTGATCGAACAAACAGGATGCAGTCAGCAACCTAATGCCAGCTCATAAGTCTCATGCGCTTTGGCATTGCGTCCTCCACAGCCTGGACACACATGACAGAACTCCCAATCATCAGAAAGTGCGCTCTCCTGCAGGATCTTGTCCTGCCCCTTTACACGGAGTTCAAGAACAGCCTCCACGTTTTCCGGCTTCAGCTTCACAAACCGGCCCTCCAGGCTCACCTCCAGAACACAAGTTTGCACTTCTTGCCAGATGGAGGCACTATCGGTCAATCTCACAGACTCTCAGCAGCACTCGTCTGAGGCAAGCGGCGGAGAAAACACAACCAAAGACATGCACAGGACACCCCATGCTGGCTGCGAATCACTGGACGACTTATTGAATGCTAAGCCACAAGCCCTGTCTGCCCGACATTCCCTTCACACTCCTACTATCCCTCAACCCGAATTGCTTGACGTGACCTGCCCCACATCGGGTCTCATCTCAGGTCCAGACCATACCTCCTACATTGTAGGACAGAGTGATAGATTCAAGCACTTGCCTGGTATTTCTGTTGGTCATCGAGATACCCTGAGCCGTAGAAGCTAGCATATCATGAATGCGCAGTACAGGAAGCAGCGTGAGAGACGGCCGTTATGGTAAGCTGCGCACGCACAATGGTGGCTCTCTTGCCGTTGTTTTCTGGCTTGGAGACCAAGCCTTTCAAGACAACTGCGCCTCAGGGACGTGGTCAAGGCTTGATTGGACCGCGGATTCCGCCAGAAAATGTGAGGGTCAAGCATCCTTCCCGTAGAAGAAAGGAAGGGCCAGCCACTGGAGCCTCGCGCAGGACACAAAGTGTTCATATGTTTTCATCTAGCCTGCACTGCCAGTGATCATCGTAGCAGCACACCTCAGCAGGCTCGACGTGTTCGTCTTTGGGGCTGGCTGCTTTGGCCAGCTCATCTGCTTGCTTCCTGCTTGTAACAGGTCCGGCGAGAGCTCATCATGCCCAGCATCGCACGTCACACGTCTTTAACCAAAGCAACCACCACATAGCTCTACATTCTATTACAATATCATGCAAGATCACGCAAGTAAAGTAAGATCCACACACCGAGCACGAATGCTGCCGGCCGGCACTCAACAGCACCATTCCATAGCTTCCCACAACATCCGATATCCTGATAAAGCTGAGTTGGGCTGCCTTATGGCCGCGGCGACTTCCGGCGCCAGCTTACCAGGTGCAATCGCGATCTGCAGCTCCAAGTATGGCTGCACTGACAAAACCAAAACCAAATGGGCTTGATGCAAATAGCCTCGTTCACAGCCGTTGCATTAGAAGGGGTCTTGAGCGAAAGATGTTGTGGAACCTGTCATGCATCGAACCCCGCCAATGAGTCACAAAAAGCAGAGTAGCATATCGCAGTACTCACAGAAGCTGAACCTCTGACGGGGCACTCTAGGAAGAAGCTCCGAGACTGGCTTTGCTTTTCGGCATAGAGAAGCTACGACCTCCAACAGGCAGCACCACCATGCCAAGCACAGCTCTGCGTCAACTGGGAAGCAATCGCACGTCTTGCGCGAACACATCACTACAACTCAGGGTATTCGACAAGCTGCTGTTGCTACCAGTATCATCCACGCCTTGCGGCCCATGAAGTAACTCTTCTGCATTAGAGAGGCCAGCTTCATGGCGTCCTGGAGCAATGGCAGTGTGATGCCGTAGGCCGTATGGGCAGGTGGCAGTGTACACCCCAATTCCAGTGACTTCTCCTGAGCACCTTTACACCAAATCGTGGCTTGACCTTCCGAGGGCTCGACCTGGCATCAGTGTCTGCAAAGTATTAAAAACTTGAACGACATCAGCACCTTCACGAACGGCTCTTTGATATGTTCGCCCACGTGCTTGCGTATTACTTCTTGGATGTCCATAAACCAAGACATGGGAGTTGACGAAGTGTACCTGACAAACTGCCAGATGCTCACTTGACCATGCTCAGATGAGGTCAGGGCACTCCCAAAGGTTGCCTATTTCAACACACGGAAACTTCTTGGCTCTGTCCTCGACCATGCAACATTGCAACTAGAGAAACTCAACGTAAGAACGTATGAATGACAGTATGGGTGCGAACAGCATCTGCCTTGACGTTGAAGCCTTCCTTCTGCCAGACAGCCGCCTGTGACACATCACAATCAGATGCATGGCTGGATTCGATGTCACACATAGCCGAAGGCACGGCTACAGCAACAAATCTGGTTGAATATCAAGGCTTCAAGTATAATGACAAATCGGCCCCGCCACAGCAGCCGATTTCTTTGAGACTATTCACACAGGTCTATTAAGCAAGATCGCATAAGTTTTCCCAAGAAAGCCAAACAACAAGAACCTTTTTTGCAGACTCGAAGTTGCGAGCTCTTGTAATTTGAAGACAAAAATGATCACAAGCTGGACGGCATCCTAAACCTGGTTCGTGATTGGGCAACTCCGGCTCATGCATCGTGCTACCATTCAATCCCTGCATGAACTAAATCCTCCCCATCGGCTTTTTACAAAATTTCACACAGCAACAACGGCAGCATGACAGGCATGACGCAAAAGTGCACGAAGCATGCCAACACATGTCGAAAGATTTGCATGCAGCAAGCGTACAGGTCTTAGCCACGGCACCTCTCTTTGAGGACAAAATGTGCGAGTGCTTTCCAAAACGCATTTATGTAAGACTGCCGCAGAAGAAAACGTTGCATATGCAGCGCAAGGAACCTGTTCAGAACAAACTATGAGCACGAGCCCCTGCAGTAAAGTGCACTCACACTGCACTCACTAGACTGTTCTGCATACGTGACCATGAAGAAAGCTGCATCAGCAGCATGTCATGGAATTGATCCCAAACCTGCAGTAGGGTGGAAGAGGGCTGGTCCTTTGCCTGTGACTCGTCCGAAGCTCATTTCGATACCAATGCAAAAACCGCACGCCTGATCGTTCCCAACATTTCTATTTCCACGCACTACACACATAGACGGGCTTTGGTAAAGCCTGGATTATTGGCCTCGATACCAGCGCCCCTGGAGCGTCACAAAATATCTACAATGGCGGCCGGCGAAAGCAATGGTGGTGTGGCACAATCTGTGCATGTGAATTTCTTGGTTTGGCATTGTGCAGCTATGGGACGTCAAAGTGTACCCACCGAGATGAACTCAGCTTTGCATTTTATCAGACAACGCTTCCTAACGAAGGCGGGCGTTCACTATGCACGTGCTTCCCAAGTTCAATGTGCAAGTTGAGGTATGACCAAAACAGAACCCAAGCAGGTTTGACGGAATCCTCCTATTTTAGACAACCGAACGCAGTGCAGATCCTTTCGGCCCTTTGCTCCCACACAAGGCCCATTGCCCAAACAAATCTGTTTTTTACTGCCAGGACTAATCCGCTCCTACTTAGAAAAGAAGCAGAGTGCGGAAACACTTGTTTTTAACTGGGAGTGGCCAAAGTCCGGGAGTCAGGTCGGCTGGACAGAACTCCAGGAAAGAGCAGACTGCGTGCTCAACCCTGCGCGGGGAGCACTACAGTCAGACCGAATGGGGTGGGTAGGAATCCCATCTACAACCCCATCAGACAACAGAGAAGGAAACAGAAATCCACAGGCAGGTGGAGTAGGGGTAGGACGGTGGGAGCTCAGAACTCCAATGCTGTGCTGCAGCCTGCATGGCTGCGGGTACACAGCATTTCCGTTGCGTCCGGGGCAGAAACACATTGGTTCAACGCACCTAACCGTTTACTGCCAAGCTCAAGGAGCCTGTCAAGTCACTAGGCTAGCGCGCATCCGCAGAGTGACCAACGCGACGCACAGGCCGACGCCTTGTTTTGGCTCTTTTCTCCAGAGACAAAAGAGTTTCCCGGAACTTTGTGGCGTGTCTAGAAGACGGCCGGACCTTCGCAACATCAACTTTCTGAAGGTGTGAAAGACTGGGGTTTATCGCGCTCTTGCTGTGTTGGGCTGCATGTTTCGCGCAACTTCATATTGCGATTGGTGTTGGTCTGCTTGTGCGCGTCACATGTCGATTTGTGGGGATGCCTGCTGGGATCAAGAGATTGGTGTCCAGCCAATAGCTAGGCCCTAGAGTTCCCACAGTCAGTAACTCTCCTAGTAGCATTCATGCATCAGCGCCTGGGCCTGCTCCCGCGCTGCGCGAGAAATCAGCTGTCGCTTCGCAGGACTACCCACTTGTAACATCCAGAACCTCCTCATTTAGCCTCTACCATACGGAATGGGCTCTGCTGGGGCAGCGCGTCAAGTGCCCGGTAATCCTCAAGCCTGTGTCAAGGTAATCCTTGATGACGCTCGAGCCAACACTTCTAAGGGTCCGATCTGCTCGTGGCTGAAATTTTGGACCAAGCTCTCTGACAAGGCTGGCTTCCCCATTTACAACGTCGTGGGAGCTCTCAAGCGTTCCGGCTACAGGTCTGCTGCCCAACACTTGGACTGTCATGGTCTACTCAGGCTCACTGGCCTGATGGGCGCACCGAAGACCAGTGTCTGCCGACTCCGACGGACAGCCGCCTTCCAAGGCCGGGTGGGCAGATTCATTCCAAGCCATCGCCTCGCTTCTCGGCCTGCCCATCGTTTACAATAATGGGGCACGCGCGTATACCGGACATTCCGCCAGGGCTTTTCGGGCGCTCAGCGCCTGGCTCAACTCGGAGTGGACATATGGCGCGTTCAGATTTTCGGCAGGCGGGGATCTGACGTCGTGTTTCAATACATTCGTGAAGCCCCAGCGCCTTTTTAACGCGCTTATCGCTTGAAACAGGGTACCGCTTCCAAATTGCAGATGCGCAGCGCCAGCTTGATTCCCTTCTACAAGAAATCAAAGAAGTGCAAGGCCGTGCCGGACCACTTGCGCTCCTCTCTTCTGCCTGGCACCATGGAGACAGCGCATACATCACTACAGGCCAGGGCTTAGCCGCCTAAATGTTGCGTCCAAAACACTTCTGAAGGAGGTCGAACACATCGCTGCGCCTTCCACGATCCTAATTTTCACCCCAGGCATTGGTGCGCCCGACGCGGCTGGCCAGTCGCAGCTGGAGATTCCAATCTTGACTGGGTTGATGAGGATTTTTCAGGAAAGCGTTGCAACGCTGTTTCCCCCGAGACAGATCTTCCTCCTCCAGCCCGGCTCTGCCGTGGCTTCAGGATGACCCTGATGCATTGGCAGTTGAGCAAGCGGCTATCCGCAAGTCTCGCCGAACCAGATGGGATCTGGCGGGCGATCCGGTCTCGAAGCCACTCTCTTTCACCACCGTTCCTCGGTGCTGCGCGCAGCCGTCACTGTGCCCCTGGGGGCGGCGCGCTCTGTCTTGGCTCAGGTTGATGAGCAACCTGTTCTTCTGCGCCCGGCCTTCATCAACTGGGCCCTGAATCTGTCTGCCGTTCCGTGCCAGCTGGCTGCATGCTCTGCCTTCGCAAGGCCTGTGCATCTGTGTTTGCTCTGGGTAACTCCACGTCCTGACTCAGGCGAGCGGAGTAACAAACATTTTGCACTGTCTCAATGCTGCCTGCATGCACTCCTGCAAGCTTAGCCTCCGCAGGTATTTGGCTCCTGTTAGGCCCTCTGTTCCCTGCTCGCCGTGTCCTCCTCTGATGCTGGTTCTGGTGAGTTAGCGCCACGCGCAGCAGCGGCAAGGAACGGCAAGCAATTGTCTGACGCGGAACTGCGGGTCATCGTGCAATCCATGACGGCCAGCACGCGGGCGCGCACGCAGCGCATCCTCTTGGAATATACTGTACTACCCCAGTTCGCTGCCAACGACACTGCGACAGTCCGGCGTGTGGCCATCTGTGCAACAGGCGCATTCGGCCAGACAGGACTGGTGATTCATCACTACTGCCGCTCCTGCCACCGCGCAGTCGACCTTCCAGGAACAAGGAAAACAGTTTGTTGTCTGGTCCTCCGTTGCTTGCTCGCTGTTTGCAACTGTGACTTATCTATCTGCTCGCTGCGTTTCATTTCGGCTCAACGTCTGTTCAGTCCTGCTTGCTGGTCGTCTGCGATGACCCATCCTCGCCTGGATGACGCAGCTTACCTGACCGCCTTGCTCTCTGAGTGGGGTGCGCCAGCGGCTCTGCAAGCAGCTCTGACGGCGGGCGGCTTCACTACCCTTGCCTCGATTGCTTTTGCAGTCGAGCCGGGTTCTGACGAAGCCCCTGCTAACCTGCTATACGTGCTCTGTTGCGAAGCAGTGATGATCCCCTGCCTGTTAACCCGGCAGTTGCTAATGCCCGTCGTCTGCTGCGTTTTGCTGCAGATGCTGCAGGGGTCTCACCTTCTCCTGCGACTGCTGCTACGCCCGCGTTGCCGCTAGTAGCTAGTAGCGCCTCAAAGCTGACATCGAAGGTAGCCAAGGACTTGAGGGCAAAGCTTTTGTCCCACTGTCCTGGCGAGCTGTTATCGCCTGACACGACACCATCCCTGCACTTCTTGCAGCCATTGATGACAAGGGCCTTCTCTGGGTGCCCTGGCATCTGAGATCTTCCGAATCAGACGCGCTGCGCTGGCAGGAGGCGAGCAACTCTTGTCCTTGCTCCTGCTTGACGACGATAGCATCGGCCCATCTGCCAGCGTTTCTCTGCCTGGCCCAGCTGAGCCCACTTTGCGGCGCGTGCTATCCATTCTGGCCATTGCTGGCAATGCTGGGGGAAGCTGTTTCAACGAGAGCGTCTTGTCTTATGCTCTGGCGCAACCCTCAATGCGGATAAGTCCATCTGGTCGACTATCTCTGGCCTCGCGCGTGACCACTGGAGTTTTTGAACCTTGTCCTCTGGGACGCCAACTGTCGCGCAACGACGAGCGTCGTCAGACGAACTTGTGGCCCCTATCCACTCAATTAGCTTCCCGCCATTGGCTTTCAACTAGTTTGGCGGGGTAGCCTGCGACTGCTGTCCAGAGAAAGTGGTAGGCGATCTTCTCCACCGCATCGCCCAACTCGCCCTTTACGATGAGGAGCGGGTCGTCAACAAAAATCTGGTCGTTATAACCCGGAGACGGTGGCCCCTGCACGGCCAAGCCACGCAGCAAAGCGCCCCCGAATGCTTGGGAAGACGATGACCCGAACACAAGAGTGTCAAAGACAATGACGCGCACGCCGTGCTCTGCGGGGATTGCCGCAGCAAAGAACATC